CGTGGAAGTCGGCTCTTCTTCCTCATCCACAAGCTGCTTCTCTCCCTTAGCTGTGAGTTACCTGCTTATGAATTCTTTCCCCTTTTCAGGAATGTTCTTGATGTTGTTTTAATCTAATGCTTTCTCCCCAGAATAAACCAACAAAAGCAAAACAAACCCCAAACACAGCCCAGGCTGGATTCTCCTACTTGTGGTTCTGTGTCTTTAAAAAACAAGTAAATTGTTGTGAGGTCCTGGATGAATTTCATCTCTTTGGCCCAACCAATGCTTGAAGCCCTGACATTAAAGCCTTAGGCAGTACTGATTAAAATCATAAGCTTGCTCAAATTTCACTCTTACCGATTTTTGTGGATGGGCAACAAAAAGGAAGCTTGTTTTCGGTCAGTGTTAGTTGAGCCCCAGTAATAGGTGTGAGGGAGAGAACAGTGAAGGAGTGAGAGGCGGGTTTGGTGCCAGTCCTAAAAGCTGCAAATCCAAAAGATAAAGATTGAATTTCCAATCCTCCCTCAGGCTGCCTCCTTACCTGATCTTAAAGGGTGGGAGGTATTTCTCTCTGAAAATTATTAGACTCACAAAATTAGAAGCAGCAAGACAAGAGAGAATTAAAAGTACTTCTAACTCAAGGAAGTATTGTTAGTAATTTTTTGGTGTGTTTGAACTTGTCAAATTTAATTTTTTAACCATTGAATTTGAAACATATACTTGGTAAGATTAAAGGAAAGAGAATTTTTAAAAACATATTTATGGATTTAGAAAGTGGATTCAGTGTGGCTTAAACTTTATATTTGCTGGCCATGTATTCATTTGTAATTTCATTAATGACCTTTGAGGCTCTGTGTGCTAGAAAAGGTTAAAAAGATGATGGAGAGACTTTCTTCTGGCTGAGATGGAGTAACAGGGACTAGATTTATCCCCTAACCTGAAATAACCAAAAAATCAGACAAAAATACACCAAGAAAAAAAAAAAAGGCACTCAATACATAGAGCACCAGGTAATAAAAGATAGTGATCCCAGAGACATGGCAAACAAATGAAGGGAGCCCTGCAGTTGCCCCCAGATTATTGTGTGAAAGTGGTTTCTGCTCTGCAGTACAGAGTGGGGAAACTCAGGTGAAATCTCATGGTCTCCTTGAGTTGAGAAGAACGGCAAGTCTGGGGAAGCCAAGGTTGCTAGATCTCACAGGGCAGAGTAGCAGAGAGGGGAGAGCTGTAGGAGAGCTCCTTTGTAAGGAGAACTCCAGATCTGCAGTATTGAGTGAAGTGCTGATCAGTGCATGTGTTTGAGGAAACCGAGGCTGGGGCAAGAACTACCCGAAACGGTGAGAGGAGACTGTGTCCGGTGTTCACACAGAGTCAAAACAGCACCTGTTCCCAACAGCCTCAGTGAAGAATTGTCTAAAAAGCATCTTGTGTCAGGACTAGGGAAAAACTAAATCTAGATTAAATGCTGCTTTGCTCCTATCCAGCAAATGGTTAAAGAAAGACTCAAAAGATTTAAACTCTTTTCAAGTAATTTATTGTTACTGCAACACAGAACAAAAGTTCAAGAAAATTTCTAGGAATACAAAACTATCCAGCATAGCGGGGAGGATATAGCTCAAGTGGTAGAGCTCGTGCTTAGCATGCATGAGGTCCTGAGTTCAATCCCCAGTACTTCCTCTAATAATAAATAAATAAACTTAATTACCTTCCCCCACCAAAAACCAAAACAAAACAAACAAATAAAAAACCCCCAAAACTATCGAGCACACAAAAGATAAAATCCATGATGTCTGGCTTCTAAACAAAAATCACACAGAGATAGAATTAGTAGACAAGAATATGAAAATAGCTATTATGACTGTATTTCATATGTTCAAAAAGCCAGAGGAAATGTTGTTTATGTTATAAATATGAATGTGATCATTACAGATTGAGTTTTGGGTCTGGATCTTTTTCTTAATTTTTGCAGTTCACATGGAAACTAAACACAGCTCATGTGAGTGGAAATTACCACTGCATTTGCCAGCTCTCCCACCTAGGTTCCCATAGTATTTCCAGAGCCCATAACAGTGCCTGGTACCTGGTAGATCTCAGCTACTGTGTTTTAATGAATTAAAGGATTTTAGTGATCATAAAAGTGACCAAGGTACTTCCATCATTGTCTCTTACGCTTTCATATCTTGACTGTGCGAGACAGACCACTTTCCCCTCCCCCACAAGTTCTGCGCCTTCCAGTGAACTCTTTCCTGCCACGCCTGGCTTATTCATCATTTTGATGTGCTAGCCTGGGAAGCGGACAGCCTTCAGGCATTGTTAGACAAAGATCCTGAAACTTGAAACACAAACTGATAGATGTCTTGCTTACTTAGTGCTGGTGGCCTTTTCTGTGAAGACCCAGACGTGATCAAAATGCTTATGATCACGGAAGCCGAAAGCAGGACAATGGACACCCACTGCTATGATTTCGGACTTTCTTTTCCTAAACTACTTGGAGAAAGATGGGTGTTTGTCTCTTTTCCTGGTAATATATCATAGGGAACACAGTTTGATCCACCACACTGTGATTTTTGCCCTGAAGAAATTACAGATGTGCACTTAACTTCCCAAAGGCTTTGCTATTACAGCAAAGATCGATGTGTACTTTAATGTCATTTGGTTGACTGAGTTCATTTCCAACATTAAAAAAAAAAAAAAACCCAAGCAGATTTTCCTTTTAGTGCTTCCAAGTTATTTAAATAATTAGGCCAATTCTGAAAATTTATTGAAATAGATTTTCAACATGAACAGATGCCCTGGAGTTCCCTATTAGGTTTTCTATTGTATTGGGCTTTCTTATAAAGACAGATTATTAATTCCACAAAATGAAAAATACCCTTAAGGCTCAAGCAAATTAAAAAAAGATCTGTTCTGAGAATTTAAATGGCTTTACCTCTTAAACTTGAGCTGATTTGAATCACACAATCAATGCATGAATTATAGTGCACATACGGAAGTGGGCTGTTGGCCTTGAGTTCAGCTATCACATAACCCTGGAAAAAATACAAACCAATTGTTAAATTAAAAAAAAAAAACCCAATAAGATGGGAAGAAAATTGCTTAAATAGTTTATGAATATAATAATTGTTGGTGAAGATTCCCTCATCTTACTGCTTATATACCATATTAGTCAGCCAGGGCTGCCATAACAAAATACCAAATCTGGTGAGTTAAGCGATAGAAATTTATTTCTCACAGTTCTGGGGGCTGAGAAGTCCAAGGTCAAGATGCTGGCTGACTGGGGAGGGGAAGAGGGAGGAGGAGGAAGAGAGAAAGAGAATTTGTTGTCTCTTCCTCTTCTTACAGGGACATTAGCTCCATCATGGAATTCCCACCCTCAAGACCTCGTTTAAACCTAATCACCTCTCAAAGGCCCCGCCTCCAAATACCATCACATTGGGAGTTAAGATTTCGCAAATGAATTTTAGAGGGAAACAAACATTCAGTCTATAATATTCCACCCTGTTCCCCCGAATTATGTCCTTCTCATGTACAAAGCACATTCATTCTGTCCCAATAGGCTTAAAAGTCTTCATTTCGTCATCAACGCTATAAAGTCTAAAAGTCCAAAGTCTCATCTAAATATCTAAATCAGACAAGGGTGAGACTTGAGTTATGATTTGTCCTGAGGCAAGATTTCTTTCTCGTTTTGGACCCATGAAACCAGATAAGTTATGAACTTCTAAAACACAATGTCAGGACAGGCGTAGGATAGACATTCCCATTCCAAAAGGGAGAAAGAAATAGGAAAAAAAGAAGCAAGCTCAAAATACGTAGCAAGGCAAATCCCACAATCCTCTTTGGCTTGATGCTCTGCCTTTCAGGTCCACTGGGCAGCAGTCGTGCCTCCACAGCTTTGGCTGGGGGTCTTGGCCCCAAGTCTGTGGGGGGCCCCATCCCCAAGACTTCTGCCTGCAAGAGTCTTTGCAGCTGCTGGGTGAAATGAAGGCAGTGTGCCCCCTGACAACCTCCCCAAAACTGAAGAGACAGCACTGGTGATCTCTGAATCTCCTTTGGAGTCATTCTTCTCTTGTGTTGAAGAGTAGTCAGGTTCCCAGCTGAATAGCTCTGTGGTCCCGTCCCATAATATCTAGGCAGTCCAGCAGCCTTCCCTCATTTGGCCCCATCTCTGTCCCCTTCAGTTCAAACTGGCAGTGCTTCTGCTCATAATCCCATGATCTCTTCATGGAGTCATAATCCCTGCCACACCCTGGGTGTTCTTTTCCAAACACTGTTTCTTCATTTTTCGCAATGTAGACTGGCTAAGAATTTTTGAAATCTTTTAGTTCTGCTTTCTTCTTGCTTAAATATTCCTTCTTCAATTCATTTCTCTCTTTTTGCATTTTACTATAAGCAGTCAAGAACCAAGTTGCTTCTTCAACACTTTATTTAGAAATCTCTTCGCTAACACCACTGCAATAAATGCAGTGTCAGACACCCTAACAATTCTTGTTAACTTTTTTTGCCTACTTAAAGGAAAATTTCAGTAACCACTAGAGGTTTCAAAATGTCTTCTTGGCCTAGGACAAGAGTACCCTTCCTTATTCTGGTGTCCAACTTTATCCTTCTGCCTTCTGTAAATGTAATTTAAGGCCCCTCCATGTCATATCCTCTTTATTTTTGGCTCACAAAGGAAGTGTGATACAATTCTAATATGTTTTACATGCCGTATATTTAATATTACTCTTCCATGAATGCTGACCTCAGTGTTTCATCCCGATTATTTATTTTGCTTAAAGTTTCAAGAGCCTTCTCTGCTTTTTTTTTTCTTCAAAGAAATGTTACCTTACATGTCATTAATCCATAAAACTTTGCTGGAATGTCAGGGCTGTGCCTACTGTGTTACAAGCATTGGTGGGTTAAATAGATTAGTTACCTGGACACTTAGAAATAGTCAAAACTCAGATTTTGTTAATAGAAACTTCCAAGTGTTTTAAAAGATATGTGTACCTTGCATGATTATATTAGCAAATGATGACCACAAAGAAAATGAGTAGATACAGAACATATCTTGGAATGTAGATAACTGTTTGTTTTTTTTAATGTAGCAGTATATGTTGAACAGAAAGTATGGTAGTCTCCCTTCTCTGAGGTTTTGCCTTCCTTGGTTTTAGTTACCTGCAATCAACCGTGGTCTGATAATATTAAATGGAAAATTCCTGAAATAAACAATTTATAGTTTTAAACTGGAAAAAAAAAAGGAAATCTCTTCAGCTAAATATCCAGTTTTAACACTCACGAGCTCTACTTTCTGCAAAACACAAGAACCTAAACACAGTTCAGCCATGTTCTTTGCCGTTTTATAACTAGGATTGCCTTTCTTCAGTTTCCATTAACATGTTCCTCATTTCCATCCGAGAGCTCACTGGAGTGGCCTTTAATGACCACATTTCTACCAACATTCTGTTCATAATTATTTATGTGTTCTCTGAGATGCTGGGAGCTTTCTCTCCAGATGTCCTCTTTTCTTTCTGAACAGTAGACACCTTGCAAGGCTGGGAGCTGGACTTGAGCGGTAGTTCAGTGAATCTCAGAATGAGATTCCACATTTGATTTTCAGCAATCTCAGCCCTGCAGCTACAGGAAATAAAGGTCTTCTTTAGGCGTCCATGGTAGCTTTCAGGTCACTTATATGATGTTTGAACCTGGAATCCGAATCCCTGACTCATCCTTTTCTTTTACCACTTCGTCCAGTAACATTAGGAGCAACCAGCCAACCTCATTAGATTTGTTAGATTTCCAAAACTGTTTGAAACTAACATATACACTGTCATCTAGATCCTTGCTTCTTGTAAGTGGTTGATGAGAAGTACCCAGTGAGGTGTTTTACATACGACTATCAGTGCACTCTTTGGTACTGGAAATCTCGTCTACAGCATCCTTAAACCTAATCAGTTTTTAGTTATTTCCAGACCCCTTCAGAACCAATTTGGAAAAATCATTCTTCAACTTATGTTCCACTAGAACTACTCTTGGTACCAAAATCAATATGAGTCTGGGTTCTTCAGAGAAACAGCACATATATATTGAGAGAGAGAGAGAGAGAGGCTATAAGAGATTGGTCCCAATGATTATGGAAGCTGAGAACGCTGAGATCTGTAGTTGGCAAGCTGGGTACCCAGGAGAGCCAACGATATTGCTCTAGTCTGAGTCCAAAGGCCAGAGAAGCAGGAGAGCTGACGGTGGAAGTTCCAGTCCAAGTCTGGGTCCAAAAGCAGGAGAAGACGGATGTCCCAGCTTGAAGACAGACAGAGAGAGAGAATTCTGACTCAGCTTTTTATTCTGTTCGAGCTTTCAATGGATTGGATGCGGCCCACCCACACTGGGGAGGGCAATCTGCTTTACAGGGTCTGCTGATTCAGATTGTAGTCTTGTCCAGAAACAACTTCACAGATACAAGCCAGAATAATGCTTAACCAAATATCTGGGCAACGTGTGACCCAGCCATTGACACATAAAATTAACCATCGCATCTGCCAGTTAGGGAGCATCACCTGGATTCAATAGTTGGGCTAAACCAAGAACTTTGTCCAATGACAAAGAGAGGGAGGTGTGTTCCTCTAACAGCTGCCTGTGTGTCAACCCAAGTTACAGCCCGGAGCAGCTGTGCCTGGGCCCACCTGTGCCCTCTTGAGACAATCAGCTCAGAGCAAATAGGAAGGAAGAAGAACTTTGTCAATGACTCCTGCTGATTTCAGAAAAGCAATTGATTCTGTTATGCAAGGTAATGTTGTTTGTAGTTATTTATTAAGAGTTGGGGGGTCTGAGGAGAGACCCCATCCTCAAACTCTGCTCTTAAATGCCAGCCAAACTGTCCTGACAAATAGGTGTGGCCCTAGCCCTTTCGAAGGTCAATCTTTGCAAGAGTGGAGCAGACTCCCTTTGGTCACTCAAAACCATTGAACTCATTGAGTTGATAGCCAAACAACACACACACCCTTTTCCCTTAACCAGCCCACACTTGTCCAGTTTTCTATTGTTCAGTCGTCAAAGCAAGATTCTCACTGTCTTTTTATCTCTCTGTCATTGGGATTATTGTCTTCTTTAATTGCTTTCTCACTGAGTGGACTTAACATCCATGACAAAGCCCTGTTTCAAAAGTGTTTTGACTCTTCATTTTTTTGGGTGGTGATAGTGATTAATTTTTTTTATTGAATCACAGGATGCCTGAAAGGGTACACAGATCGTAAGATTAACTTGATGAATTTTTTAAATGAATACATCTGTCTAACCACCACCCAATTCAGGAAATACAACATTACTTTAGCTCCCTCCTAGCTCTTTAAAAAAAAACCCAAAAAACAAAACGAAATTCTAAATCTTTATTATTGACACAAACAGAGCAATGACAGTGGCAGTGAGAAGGGGCGAGCCCTGACCAGGAGACTGAGCTGCGATCAGATGGATCTGGGCTGGGCCAGCTTGACCAGCTTTGGCAACAGACTTGGCCACTGCTCAGTAGTAGAAAGGTTCTTCGAGAGGGTGCTGTGATACATGCTGTGGCTCCTGTCACAGGACAACCTTAAAGGCACTGGCAAAGTCTGGTGAGCAGGAGATAATGTGCTGTAACTCAGAGGGACTGATGGTCCCCTCCTGTTCAGTGTCGACCCTCCCGGGATGTTGTCAGTGAGCTGCTTCATCTCTGAGGCACTGAGCCATGCATCCTCACCCCCTGCAGTGAGACAGTTCACCACCCAGCTCCAGCCTTCTCCCCACCCCGATCCCCCAGCTCTTAAAACCCCAAATGTAAACCTGTCAGGTAATTTTGCCTAAATTTGTACTTTACATAAATGATACAAAAATAGATCACTAAATTAAAGTGTAGAATAATACAATATGTAATTTTTTTGTGTCCTGCATCTTTCAGCATATGGTCTGCACAATGTCAGATGTATCTGTGCTATTGAACGCAGCAGTGGTTTTTACATTTTCATTGCTGTATAGCATTCCATTGTACGAGTATGCTGAAGTTACTTCTTATTGTGTTATTGTTGGACACTTGGGTTATTTTTTAGGTTTGGGAATTGATGAATAATGCTGCTGTGAATATTATAATACATCTATTTTAGTGGGTACATGTATGTGCTTCTGCTAGGTCTAGATCCAGGAGTGGAACTCCTAGGTCATAGTGTATGGATATGTTCAGTTTAGGAGACAGTTGGTTGTGTTCCATGGTATTTGTACCAATTTACACTCCCACTAGTTCTGTGTAAGAGTTTCAGTTGTTCTACTTTCTATCACTTGGCTTTGTTATTTTTTCTACTTTTTACCAATTTGGTGACTTTGGCATGCTATTGGGTTTTTAGCCTGTATGTCTTTGATGGTTAATGAGGCTGATCACCTTTTAATGTGTATATTGATTATTTGGATACTCTCCTGGGAAATGGATTGAGTTGTCTGTGCTCCGTTGGCTTAAGAAGATGCTAAATGGATCCAAACTTGGATAATGTTCAATGTGATTATTTTGTAATTGAGTAAATTCATTTTCTAAGCGGTAGAAATCCCATCTCCAACTATCACCACATTAGTCAAGTATGTCTGGGTAATCATACTATTCTTAAATGAATGGATTATTATTTACATTGTGGTGATGTCCTCACAAGGTTCTGTCAGTTTGTGAAAACAGAGATTCCTAGTGGCAGCTAAGAGCTCATTTTTGACACAGGTTGGTGGCTGGAATTTTATAGGCACACACATGATGGCTCAGTAATTTGTCGTGGTACCACTGGCTATTATCAGCTGAATGGTATTCTTCCTCCCAAATTCATGTGTTGAAGTCCTAATCCCAGTCCCTCAGAATGGGGCTATATTTGGAGATGGGGTCTTTAAGGAGGTAATTAAGGTACATTGCGGTCATTAGGGTGAGCCCTAATCCAGTATGACTGGTGTCCTTATAAGAAGGAGAGATTAGGACACAGACAGACACAGAGGGAAGACCGTGTGAAGACCCAGGGAGAAGATGGTCATCTTCAAGCCAAGGAGGGAGGTGTCTCAGAAGAAACCAACCCTGATATCACCTTGATGTTGGACTTCTAGCCTCCAGGACTGTGAGACAAGAAATCCCTGCTGTTTAAGCCCCCCAGTCTGTGGCACTTTTTATGGCAGCTCTAGCAAGTATTAGGAGTCCATCCTGGGGAATCAAAACCCTTGAGCCTTGGGGTTGGAAGTTTTGGTTTAACATCTTTGGCAAATAAAGCATTCAAGCTCCATTCTTCCAGGTCTTGGCGGTGCGAAGAAGTCTCAGGCAGGGATATTCCATTTGACCCTCAAACTACCTAGATACTGCTCTTTCCATGGGTATATATTTCTCCTCTATTACATGTGATCTGCTGTTCCCTCCTGCTGTCTCCCTTTCTTCTTGGAAACTTTCCAGTGCTTTCAAAAGCCAGAGCATAAAATCACTTCTCAAGTTGGTCCACTTAAAGCTGCTCCCAGCTGGAGAGCAATAACAGTATTCCTACCAACTGTGCCCAGCCACGCTCCATCCATATGTGAACAATCTAAGTACAGCGCATCGTGGCAGGTTATATTGTGCTTTGTTCACTTCAACTACTGGGTTTTGTGTGCCAGGCTCTGCACAGTGAGTGAGGGATGAAAAGATGAATGGGACACTATGTCCACACTTAAGGAGGTAACTTGCTCCTCTGATACTGAGGGGTAATCTGGTGACAGTAACTGGGAAATGATTCAACGAGGGTCCTGGAATTACTTAGCAAGAGACTTTGAGGAATCACTCGGTGGTAGACATTGAAGGATGGCCTTCCTCTGCCAAAAAATACATGTATACACCTGCCCGCGTGGCCCCTTGTGCCCTGAGGTATCTGCCTTCTGAAGGTGCACCAGGAAAAGAGAGAAGCCTGGGAAAAACAAAAGTGCATAAACCTTCCTATGGAACTGGGATCCCTGTAGTTCTTTCTGGGTCATTCTGGGTTTTGTAATTTTGCAAGTTCTCTACAATGTCTTGGGCACTTAGCATGGTACAAAAGAACACAGT